GGGGATGCAGAGCTGGGAATGGGGTAAAGGTGGGCAGAGGAAGGGTTCCTGACCCTCCTTCCCCCGCTCAAGGGAGGGATGGGTTTATTTCCCTCCTACGAGGCGCAAGCCTCTGGAGCCTGAGGACCTGGGCTCTTATCCTTAGCAGCTGCCTCAGTTTCCCCACTATAAGCGGCTGAGTGGGTCAGGGGGAGATGGTGCATGCAGAACGCCTTGCAGGCAACGTGACCATGGGTAGTTGATTCTCTCTCCTGTCCTGGCTCCCTGCTGGCCAGGGCCCCACCAGCCCCTGGCACCCAGGGCCCACCCAGCCAGGTGGACTGTGAGATGGGCCCTGGGAGTAGCCGTGGGCTTGCGGGTGGGCTTCCCGGGAGAGGTAATGTACATCTGAGGGGTGATAGGTGGGGAGGGTCTGAGAGGCTGTGGCCTCCTCAGGTTAGGTGAGTGGCCAGCTCTGGCAGGGGATGGGAGGCAGACAGGGAACAGGTGGGAGAGGAGGCTGGGAGGGGCTGCTGGGCCCCTGGTGACGGTCAGGGGTCATGTGAACCCCACACCTGTTCCTCCCAGGTGGGAAGGAGATATGTCTGCTCTCATTTCCAGGGCAGCGGGTGGTAAGGCCGTCTTCCACACAGCCAGTGAGCTTCACCCAAAGACCAGGTCCTGCCCAAGGGGCCACCACAACTGGGGAACTGTCCGCAGAGGCCCAGGAAGGGTAAAAGGGTGGGGGAGCTTTAGAGCCTGATGGCGTGGGTGCCGTCCCAGCACAACGCTTATAGGGAACCATGTGTAAAAAGCTCGGCACCCCCTGCGCACAGCAAGTGTCCACAGCTAGTGTTTTCCTTCCCTGCCTGGGAGAAATCCTCCTGACCCTTTCTGGCCCCACTCTGTGGCCACTACCTCTCCCTCTGCAGGCCCCACCCTGCCACTGAGGGTCACTCCCCAGCCCCTCCACGGCCCTCTACACACTTGGCCTTCACCAGTGGGTGTGTGAGCTGCTGCCCTGCTTAGCTATTCCTCCCAAAGGCTGTACTGCCGAGCCCAAGTGAGACTCAGCATCACAAGGAAGATCCCTGGACCATCCCTGGGATCCCTGGATCCTCAGGGGCCAGACGGGTCTGCCTGGTCCTCGCTGAGTCCCTATCTGGTACAGGCCCGGGGCAGGCTCAGGTCTGGGTTCAAATCCCATCAGGCAGGACTTTCCTAACTGCTTGAGTCCCAAGTTCACTATGGGGCCGCTGACCTGCTCAGCTGCTGCCCCCCGAGGCCTCCTGAAGGCCCACCAGGCACCACCCTCCCAGGCCTGCTAGAAAGAACCCTGCCAACCGAAACCACAATAGGAGGGAAGGAGGCCTGGGCTCAGTACCATGTTCCCGTGGGAAAAAAAAAACACGTTTATGACTTGATTTCATAAAGCTCTGTTCCTATGTCTCAGCAACCAGGCTGGGTCATTTCTCTGCAAGGCCAGGTGACCAGGGTGGCGAGGGGTAGTGACCAGCAGCTCTGCACCCTGCTTAGAGCCTGCACTTTCTCACTGACATCGTCCAGGTGAGGAAACGGGGCTAGAATGGCTTTGTAAATGGTCACTTAGCAGATAAGTGAGATGTGGGCCACTTAGAACTTTTTTCCCTGAGATACAAGACCCACTTTGATTGAGACAGAGTATATCGGGCACTCCCACTGGGCTACTGTTGGGGCCACAGGTGAGTAAGATCTGAGCTTGACCTCAAGGGGCACAAAGCCTGGTGGGGGATCAGACATTGAAATAATGGGCTAAACACTGCTCAGTGGGCTGGGACCACTGGGGGATCTAACCAGGAGGAACGGCTTCCTGATGGGGAACTTGGAGAGCCTCCCGGCCGTGGTGACATCCACGTGGGGTTCTGAAGGATAAAAAGGGATCTGCCAGGCATCTGAAGGGTGGGGAAGGGGTATTCTAGAGGGTACAGCACAGGCAAGGGCAATACAGTTCAGTATTCCTGATCCAGAACCTGCCCCAGACATCCTGTTCCCTGAAACACGTACAAAAGGGGCCATCCTCAAGGTGAGGGCCAGATGCCCCCTTGGGGAGCAGGGCCGCAGGGACAGGCCTGCCTCAGTAGCCACGGTTCCTGGGATCTTGGAAACTGTCCAGAGAGCCTCCCTCCCTGCCCTGCTGGGAGCGCAGGATCTAAAGGCTAATGATAGTGATGCCTTCTCCTGAATCTGAAGGTTTAGAAATCTCCCTCCACTTCTCTCCTGAAGGCTGAACAACCCCAGACTCTTGGCCGTCTTGGGGAAAAGTGAAGCAGCAGCAGTCCATCTCCCTGTGTGGGGAAAGTGCAGCCTGCCCAGGGCCCTCCACAGGATGTGTTTGTCTGCGGGCTTTGTGTGGCCTGCCGTCCCCCATTTTCTGCTCCACTTCCATGACCCAGGCTTAATCAGAGCCCACGAGGTGGAAAACCCAGAGCCATTCACCATCCACAGGAGTGGGCTGCCCTGGCTGTGCGGCTGGTGGGAGGAGAGATTCCCTGAGTTCCCCAGCAGGGGCTCCCGTCAGTCAGGGTAGGGGGCAGGGAGGGGATGGTGGAGAGGCAGTAGGAAGCTGGTGTGGGGGAAGCAGCTTCCTCTTCTTACACTGAGATCTGGGCGGATCTGAGGGATGAGGATTTGTGCCTTCTGGGGACAGCTGGGGGTGGCTTCCACCCATCCTGGGTCCCCACCTTCCCAGGAAAGACCCTGGTAGGGCTGCAGCCTAAAGGTAAAAGGCACACCAGGGACTCAGGTCCCTGAGAATGGGGGTTTGCCCCAGGTGGATGCGAGGCCACCCTCCATGTGCTGACCTCAGAGTGGAAGGGGGCCTCTGAAGCCCTTGAGGGTCTCACCCTCACCGTCATGAGGGCCGTGACTCCCGCAGCGCGCTACACAGACTTGGGTTTGCGTCCAATTTGGCCATTTAGCAGCTGGTGACCCTGGGCAGCTCAGGGAGTTCTCTGCGCCTCTGTCTCCACGTGGATATTAGCGGTACTAGCGAAGCTGTGGGGAGGGGTAAGTGGTCCTGGATGGGAGTGGGCTCCCCTCGGGGCTCAGGGGTGGGAGCCACATGGATGCCTTAGTTACAGCTCCCTGGTCCAAACCCCTCCTAGTAACAGGGGTGGAGGCCAAAGCCTGGCCAGGAGTGGGGACGCTTTGCCTAGGTGGCCCCTCTGCACACAGCGGGGGTTTGGGCGTTCAGGGTCTGACAGCCTCCCAGAACTGAGCCGGCTCTTGCCGGGTGAGAAGCAGCTGTCAGGAAGGGTCCCTGGAAGAAATGCGGGATTCTGCACTAGCCTGGGCTCCCAGCACCTCACTTCTGTGCCCCCACAGTGGAGGTGGATGGGAGAGGCCCTCAAGTCAGGTTCATGTTTGCTGGGGGCGCAGATCCCAGCCCAGGGTGCAGGCTCCGTCACTTGGGTCTGGCACTCCTGGTGCCAGAACTGCTAACAGGCTTGCTAATCAACCCCAGGGGCCTGAGCTTCCCATCAAACAATTCATTACGCACTTAGGTGGCGAGCTGTTTTTATGGCTTCATAAACACAGATGAGCCTCTGATGCCTGATAAAATACTTTCGCTAGAGACGCCAGCTGAGCAGCACATTATCTGGGAAAAACCAAAACCGCTTACTCAAGACGATGTGGCTTTAGTCTCCACATGTGGGGAGGCCATACCAGGGAAACCGCGGGGAAGCACAAATGCATCATTATGCCTTAAATGCTCGATATCGGTGCCTGTCACCAGAAGAAGGACAGTGACCGAGGCCCCTAGAGTCTGGAGGCTGTAAGGAGGCCAGAGGGCCGAGAGGGTGGACACGGGAAAAGGAGAGAGGAGACCAGTGACAGGGCCAAACAGCAGGGCGTCCAAAGAGCTGCGGTCCAGCAGCCTCTCTGCACGTGGGCGCCGCTGCACCCCTGAACGCCATGGACAAAGTCCACACCTGCGGGCACCTGTGCGTGTTTCCCTGGAGTCTGGGAAGAGGGTACAGGATCTTGGCCTGCAGTGGGCTCCAGCCTCCACCTTCCCACCCTGCCCTCAGGTTTCCTGGTGTTGGACGGAGAGCCTAGTCTCTGCTCTGACCCCCCTGCTTTGGAGGCTGAATCCCCCAGCTGGGGCTCACCTGGGCACTGGTACTGCCCACTGTCTCTGCAGCCAGCCTGCCTGAACCGCATTCTCTGGACCCCCCTCCTCTGAGGCGGCCTCCATCTCCCCACACCTCTGTGCTCTGGCCCCCAGCTCCCACGGTGCCATCCTAGCTGGGATGTGCTCATCCTGGGGACTGTCCTTGGGAGGAGGCTGTGGCCTCCTCTGACACATCAGACCTGTGTCCAGAGGGAGCACATGCACCTCTGGGGAACACTCATCAGGCAGAAAGAGGAAGGGCCCAGAAGCTCGGTTCAGCCTTGAACTCTCTGCCACCACGGAGAGACCCTCCCGGTTCGTGGTCACAGCTGTGTGGCTCCCAGAACCCGTGGAAAGGCGGAACTCCTGGGGCTGAACCCCTCAGTCCACAGATGTGGGTCCTCGTTCAGCTACTTACTATCGGGTTGGCACGGCTGCGGTGGCCTCAACTTGAAAGCTCTTCTGACTGAGGGACCCCCACCACACACGCAAGCCCCCCATGGTTACAGGTCCCAATCCTGCTGCATCTGGGCCACGTACTGGGGGAAAGAGCAGCAGCAGCTGTTGCGGAAAAATGCGGCAGCCACGTCCCTACTGTGTGTGCTGAGCTGGCTGCTCAGGTTGGGCGCTGCCTTCCTCGCCCAGGCCTGAACCACCTGCGGGCTCAGCCGGATCTCACACCCAACTCCAAGCTCCACCCAACAATGAGAAACAGTGTCCTCACCCCGTGACGGCGCATGGATGAGATGACACGGAGGATGACGAGAGCAAGAGGGAGCCCTGGCCTGTCCCTCACCCTGGCCACCCACCGGGGGACCGGGGAGCCACCTCCCCCTTGGGGCCCTGGGCCGGGCCCGCAGACACTCACATTGATCATAGCATTTGAAGTGATGCGGAAGAGGGTGGCCCGCTCACTGACCGCCTTCAGCTTCTCGCCGCTCTCGCAGGGGATCCTGAGGCCATCCAGCTCGCTCAGGGAGCGCTGCAGGGCCACGCCGTGCTTGGCCACAAGCTCATTGCACGTGCTGAGGTCGTCCAGCTTCAGGGAGAGCTTCTTGATGGTGTCGTGTAGCTCGCTCTTGTCAGCTGGGGAGGCAGTCCCGTCCTCGTCGTCCCCAGAGTCATCTGTGGAGACACGCGGGATTGCCATGGTTCTTATGGAGCAACACACACCCAGAGGCCCGGGAGGTGCCGGCTTCTGGCCAGGGCGAGGTGTCTGCACAGCCCCTCTGGAGTCAGTCAGGGAGATGGAAGAGGGGACCAGCTTGAATGACAGGGCCTGGGCTGTGCTTTGCAGGGGGCACCAGCACCCCCTAAGCTGATGTGCAGGCAGGGGTGGGCTGTCCGGGTGAAGAGGTGGAGATGGCTGTGTGGGAGCGGCTCCCATCCCAGACCCCGCAGACCCTGAATGAAGCCCGGGCACTGTCCCCGCGTCACAGGCCCAGCCCGGGCTGACCCATGCTTCCCCCGCCAACCTGACCTTGCTCTCCACTGTCCGCCCATCCCCGGTCCCTGCAAACAATGAGTGCTCGTGCTTCGGGCCTTTCCCTCTGTGTCCCCACTGTATCCCCACCGTGTCCCCACTGTGTCCCCACTGCCTGGAACCTCCTCACCACCCCCAGCTCCTCAGAGGTCTCACCCCTGCCCAGCCCAATGCCACCCCATCTTCAGAGCCGGCCTGAAGACCCCCCAGGCCGCAGTCACAGCTCCCTCCCCTCTGCGACCAGTGACCCCCTCCTGCAGGTCTCCCCTGAGGAGCAAGGCCATGCTCACCTATGGGTGTCTCTTGTGTGGAGACACTGGCTGTGGCCTCTCAATGGCCTTGTCAGGGTAGGGACTGTACCACTCCCAGGGGACAGACAGGTGATGAAGCTCAGGTAGGTGAAGCCCTGGCCCAGGCCCCCTGGCTAGTCTGTCTGCCTCCAGAGCCACCCTCTTCACGCCTGGGGGCCTCCATGAGGAGCCAGGCAGGTGCTCACGCCCCACCCCCTCCCTGCTTACTTGACCCCAGGTGGCCTCGGCACCCCTTCCTGGGAGTCTGAGGTACCTTGGAGCCTGGCCCGCTGCCAGCCCAGCTTGTGTCCAAAGGGGCGCGGGGCTGTGGGAGCCTCTGGGGTGCTCTGCGGCGAGTGGGGTGGGGTGGGGAGCTGGCCTGGGCCCTGCTGCTACTTCGACACTGGCCTGTGAGTACCAGAGGCTGCAATTGCTGGGCGGTGTCTGAGATGCCTTGATTTAGAAATAACAAGAAACTTTTTTTTTTTTGGTGAAGGAAATCTGTAACCCAAGATAGAAATTTTTGTAAAAAGGACGCATTGTGAGAGAACAGATTTCCTCCCATGGCAGACAGGGTGCATGGGGGTGGCCACAGCTGAGACACTGCTCCGCACACGCCCTGAACTGGAGGCAGGGCCTGGCCAGCCTCGGAGGGGTGCCTGGAGCGAGGAGGTGGCAGGGGGCAGCATCCAGGCTGGGGGCAGGGCTCGCCCACCCCATCCAGCCCAACTGCAGCCCCGAAATGACCCAGTGTCTGGAGACCACACGTGCCGGGCCAGGCCCTGGGCCACTCGCTTGACCAGTGTGAACGCTGAACCTCAGTGGCCAGCAGACAGCAACTGCTCCCACTCTGCAGGCGTGAAAACGCAGCTTCTGAGACACCAAGCCACCGGTTTAGGGCCCTGCTATCAAGGGGGCAGTGCTGGATGTGAACCCAGGGGGATCTGCACGGAATTGTTTCCTATCTCTGGATCACCTTAGAAAGGCTCCAATGGCTGATGCGTATCTTGCCTTCCTGGGTGCCAGACACTGGGCAAGGCGCTGCCTTGGTTAATGCACGTTGATGACCCAGTGAGGTAGGTTTGAGGGGCAGAAAGTTGCTTTGAAATTGCCCAGGGCCACAGGCAGGGAAATTCTGGAGCCTCCAGGCCTGTCCGGCTTCAGAGCCTAGGCTCTTAGTTACAACGCAACCTCCTCTCACTTTTCAGGTTCAATGTGTCAAACAACCAGAATGGCCACCAACCAGTCAGCACAGCTGCCGCTGGGCACTGGGAGGGGCACACAGGGGCATGCTGACTGCGGGTCAGCCTGAAAATGG